CAGCCTGGCTGGAGTAGAGTAACAGAATTCAACCCAACGCGAGAGAGCTGGACAACGGAGACGGACCTCACGCAGTAAAGCCATACGATCAACCAAATTAAAGGCATTCCGGAAATCCACTAGCAACATAGAGAGGCCAACATCACCACCACGAGCCTCAACCAAACGATTAACAACATGAAGAATAGCCTCACCACCCGCCAGCACACCAACACCAAACTGAAGACCTCCTAAATAGTTTCCCAGACGCGGACCAATTAAAGCAGCCCCAACCTTTGAAACCAGACGCCTCCAAACAGTACCCACAGCAATAGGTCGAATACCACCACCAGGCTTAACAAGTGGCGTGAGAGGAGCACTGGCGATGTATTCTCCCAACACAGCAGGACATTTCCCAGCGAGAAAGAGATTAACCACCTGCGTAATAGAGTCTACCAACTCATCCGAAATAGCAACTGCAGCACCACCCAAGCAATCCATAAGGTGTTGAGCACGCAAGCCGTCTCTACCGCATGACGTACCACGCGGAAAACCCGTAATCTGATCTAAAACAACAGCAGGATTAGCAATAAGGGGCTGATCAACGGGGATATCCGGTAAGATAGGAGCCGGAAAGGAAGGGTGCTTAGCTTGCAAATCAGCAAGAGTAGCATCATTGTAAGGGGCAAGACCAGAAGACGAAAGCACCCGAACCGCAGCAGTGTAATGTCCGTCACTAATCTTTCTCTTACATTGCGTAATATTACGCTCAGACAAATCATGCACATCATCAGCATCCAACAGAGGTAGAGACACATCAGCCAACGTATCCCGCACAAGATGCACAGGACCACCAGGCTCACACCAAGATCGAATAGCAGCGGAGATACTCTCTTCCTGCCGCTGCCGCCTGACACCCGAAGAACACTCACGACTACTCCTTGGAGAAAAGGTTTTTAGAACACAAAGAGGCAACACAAGCAGTTGAACCCAACAAGAGACGTCATCAGGCTTGCATATCACCTTATCAAGCGCACCTTTTAGAACCCGAGAGAAACCCAAGCGACACTTAGGAGGAATAGATTTCACCGAACGAAACCGCTTAGATAGCAAACTATCCAAGAGAGCAACATCGAATGCAAAAAGAGGCTCACAAGGCACACTAGGAACAAGATCAGATACTCCCGAAGATGGACCCTGCGGTTTAGAAAAACCATAAAGGATGAACCGAACAATACCATCCCCAGAATCAGGTGGGGCCACAATATCATCAGAACCAGGACCATGTCGACACTTCGTACGAAAAGTATGCGTCTTGAAACACTCCCCAAAAAACCAAATTCCCATACGACGAAATGTTGACTCCGCCTTTAAGAAAATGGCCAAATCAGAAGAAAGAGAGTGTCGAGTCAAATCTCGTGCATCCCCACAACAATGACGATCACGGAGATGAGTGAGTAAATAAGCTTTAGTGAGCCCATTACCTCCACCATCCTGACACCCATTAAGACCCACAAATGGACAATGAAATCAAACTATAGGAGGCACAACACCCACCACAACTTGCCACGAGAAGAACACAAAACAGCACACCAAAAACTACACCAAAAATGCACCCGAACTATACACTAAAACCACACCCAAAAAGCACCAAAAACTGCACCTTATACACACCAAAACTGCACCCGAAACTGCTCTGAAACCACACCAAAATTGCACCAAAATCACACCCAAACGGACCACCAAACTGCACCCAAACCCGAGCAGGAAACTGCCTGATAAACAAAGAGAAAACCGTTTGAACCTTGCGCTGAAAACAGCCTGAAATTCGCCCACAATAGCCCCAAACACGACCACAACACACCTGAAAACAACCCAGAAACGAAGCCTATTTGCCCTCAAAAAACCGTTGCTGGAAAACCACCCAAAAACTCCCTGAAACTGCACCAAAACACGCCTTGAGATCGCACCCAAAAAATAAGATGATCGCCTAATTTTAAGCCTGAAAAAATGCCCCTTAATACGATTGAAACCGCTAAAAAATTGAAGCCCTCGCCGGACCTATTAGCGCCTGGAAAATTGCCGGGATATGGACGTGGAACTTGCCTGAAAACCAATCGGAAGCCTGAACTACCCAACTGCCTTACCTTCGACGGATCTTCGACCGGAGAATGACGTGTTAGCCAGAGCCCTCGCTTGACCTGATCGAACGTCGGAGATGCTGCTGGAATAGTGACGCAGAAGCCTGAACTACCCAACCCTAATCGCCCCTAAACGGGCCTAAACGAGGGAAAAGCAGAGTTTTTAAATATTATTATTATTATTATTATTATTATTATTATTATTATTATTATTATTATTATTATTATTATTATTATTATAGAAAAATTACAAAAACCTACAAAGTCAATCAATTTACAAGAAATTAGTGGGGAACCGAGATACAATTTGGGCCTCCACCCCTCTAGCTATAGCGAACCCAATCCTGCTGAAGATGTGAGCAGCTGCACGAGCACTAATATCCTGAGTCTTAGCGAACGCCTGAATCCGCTTCACGCAACAACATCCTTGTCTAACTCTCCCAAAGAATAAAAGGAGAAAGGAAGAAAACCATAATCAATTGCCCTGCAACGCTCCCCATACTTATCCCGCTTCCGCTGAGCCGCAGCCGACAAAACACGACCAGGAACAAAGTCAGACAACCTAGATTGTGTTAAAGGAGAAGACTCCGTCAAGTCAACACATACATCAAGGCCTCTGTCCCAGGAAAATTGCAACACATCTGCAGGTCGAAGAGCCTCATCGTTCCCTCCAGTCAACCCAACGTTTACCTCATTTCTTGCAGAAATCCCAAACCAAAAATAAATATCAACAAGGGTATCACAAACAACGTTATGTCGGTGTTTAATACCCACCATCCCAGCACAAGACACTGCATGATCCGCATAAATGTCCCCATCAAAAAACCTTGAGCAAGCAGAACACGCTGTCGAAACGGAGAACAAAGGAACACCCAACCGGTAGCAAAGAACAGAACGGTAAGCCTTACCATTCATAATCTGACCCAACCCCGATATTGGGACCGCCCGCAACCAGGCAGAAGTGTGGTCCCCCTGCTCGGACTTCTATAAGGCAACCTGACGCGGAGATAAGGAGAAAGTGGATGTTGCAGATGCAGTAACCTTCGTGAAATATATATTTGCCAATTTCTTCATGAGTTTGGGCAGCGATCTCACTAGGGTTACGCATAAGATTAGTCTCCACAGTCCTATAAATAAGACTAAGAACACCATCGAAGGCCGGTCCTGGACCAACAATGCCAGAATTGCGAAGAAGCGAAGCCTGAAGACCAGTAGATTGCAAACGCAACGCAAGGAAAGCATAGTGCCGAACATCATCCGCTGAATAAACACCCAATCCACCATAAGCAAAAGGTAAGGTGGCAAGTCGCCATTGCCAATCACCAAAACCAGGCCCCGAAGCAGTTACAATGCACTCTAAAGAAGCCCGAAGGGCCACATCAAAAGAAATTTGGGCCGCTTCAAAAAGATGAGGGGGACAAGTGCGCATAGCAAAGTAGAGTTTTGAAACCCCAGTACCCGCACGAAGTAGTAACAACTCACATTGGGGATCATCAAGCTTAGCAACATCATCCATTAGCACAAAGGTTTTCGACACTCTCTGCGAAACGAGCTCGTCACAGAAAGAGGAATCGGCACTGACAGGACCACCAAGCAACTTAACACCATGCACAGGAGAGCAATATCTGGAGGAAAGACACCTACGAGACGGCTACGTGGGTCCATCGTGGGCCAGAAAACTTCCGTCTTCTCAACATTTACATGGAGGCCGAGACGAGGTCCCTCCATCAAAATCAACTCCATAACCTTTCCTACCACCAAGGTGTCACCAATAATAGTGTCGTCACCCAAATACCAAGCCTGCAAACATAAGTCAAAAGAATCCCTGATTCAACACACCAACGGAAAAGGAAAAGAATCCTTGATTCGACACACCAACTTATTATTATTATTATTATTATTATTATTATTATTATTAATTATCAATTTTTTAAAAAAAAACTAGCAAACTAAGAAAGGAAAAGAGAACAAAGAAAAAAAAAACAAACAAACGGAAAAGGAAAAGGAAAACTACTGACTATAGTGAATTACTCCCCCCCCCCCCGTTTTAAAATACTTGCTCCACTTTCCATTTCCAACCGCTTTTAAATATTTGCTCCATTTCCTTATTTGGAAATTTTTTACAATATTTAATTTATTTCTTATAACTAGTGACCCAACATAAATCATATTTTATTAATTTCATATTCTCTCTCCTCCAATTCTCTCAATTACTTTTGCTTTTTATAATTTTTTATTCTTCCATCTACCCCACTACCTCCATATTTTATTACTTTCTCCAATTTCTCCTAAAACTCCGTGTATGGAGAAATGGAGCAAGTATTTAAAAACGGAGGGAGTACTAAACATCCTAACTGACAAAATTCTTTATCCTTCGAAGCTTCTAGAATAGATATAGCCTAAGCTACACCAATACCACTAATATCTTCCAATAAAATAACACGAATGTCCTTTGGAATCACCACCAAAAACACCCTGCTCTGCTTCCACTCCATAGATAGAAAGCCCGATTAGCCTCTCTATACTGGTTGATTATGAATCATGACAAATCAGATGTTATTTTATCCATCTATTAGTTTTTTTTTTGGTGATACATCACACACTCAATTGATTGATGTGACGTAATAAATAATCCTACCAAATCACTATCAACAAATTTTATTTTATTTATGCATTGGATGTAAGTATGTAACCTCACTTTTTATTTTGAAAGATGGATGTAACCTCACTTTAATTAAACTATACTCCCTCTGTCCCATAATAAATGAGACGTTGGACCTTTTTCACTATTTATGCATTAGTTTTTACCATAATTTTTTTACTAACATAATAAAAACATATTATATAAAAATAAAGTCAAACTAGTGTATTAACATGTGTATAATGTTACTGTGTCATGTATTATGAGACAGAGGGAGCATAGTTTAATTAAAGTGAGGTTACATCCATCTTTCAAAATAAGAGGGAGTACATGCCTTTCATTTTAAAGCAAAAATAAGTCTTTTGAGTTTTGACACCCAACAAGATATAAAGTTAAAATAAACCCATTTCCTCAACACGAAAAAAAAAAAAAAAACAAAAAAGTTTTAAAACCCACAATTCGTAAAGCAAGAAGTTACAAGTTACAACAGATTACAGAGATGAAGAAGACAACAATGGAGCAAGGGAAGAAGGAAACTAAGAGAGTGCTGATAACATTTGACATCGATAGAACCTTTATTCGAAGCACTGGTCCCAATTCCAACCACCTTCATCGTCAAGCTTTTTCCCATGCTTTGCTCCAAGTTTTTGGAATTGATGGTACAATCGATGTCATTCAGGTTTATTAATTCATAATCTAATTTAAGCTTTTTTGGGGTTTAATCTTAGATACCCACTTTCAAATTTTGTTACTTTGTTCTAATTTGGGTGTTTCTTCATATAATTTGTTCCCAATTTGATTAAGGGTATTGTTCATGTTGATGGGTTTTTAATTTTACTATTGAATTGGTTGTTTTCAATATTTTTCTTGAAATGGGGCATGATAATTTGTTATTATGGAATATTATGAGTACTTTACAGTCTATATGATCCAGTTTATTTGTCAAAAACCTGTGTAACATGGAAAAAGCTCCGGTTTCAGAATCGAAAACGTTCTGAAAATGGGAATGTCTCAAGTCCCAGTCATTTTTAGGCTTCATTAGCTTGGAAACATTGGGGTTTTGGAAACAGGAAAACCTCAAAGTCCTAAAATTGGGATAGGAATTGAGAATATTTCATTGGTCATGTTTAACAATTTTTGATTGTTTCTTCTTTGGCCTTTTTGTTTCAAATTTGAACGGAGTAAAAGGGTTGGCATTTGGTTGCAATCTTTTTCTGAATCTATATGATAGTCGCTTCTTTGTGATTGGAGGTCTGATTTGGATACATGTAATCCATGGGAATGAAATTATGGTGATTTCATTTGGTGCTTGTTCGTTTTCATTAAGAGAAATATTTAAATAGCAACTTCAAGTTCTAAATTATGAAATTTGGCTACTAGTTGGTTGCTACTTTTTACTTCAAGTTGTTTAAATAGCAATTGACTACTATGAGTACACGAGCTTAAGTCTTTTGGCTAATAATAGAGAACTAATATTCTTGTGCAGCATCATGGTTCGACCGATCCTGCAATCCTTGTGAACACGCTTGTCCACTATGGGATACCATCTGAGGTTGGTAATTGGTATCCATTTGGAATCTTGCTGCATTTTTACTCTCGATTTCATATATTCATGCCTTATTGGAACTTATTACTTGCTTTGTTTATGATAGAAAACTGCTGTAATTGATACTCCTAGTCACTAAAATAGAATTTATTTCTGGTCTCTATTGCACTCTTTTATGCGAAGGTAATAATAGAAAAGTACCATTGCAATAGGAGTTTGATACAAATCACATGATTTTTATCGCCAGGCAGGGTTAACTAATCATTGCACTCTTTTATGTGAAGGCAACTATCTCCTCGAAGTAGTTATATACAGTATAAGCTTAGATGAGGTGAGGCATTTAACATGGTCCCCTAGCTAATAATCTATAAGTAAAGGCCCAACTGTCTCAGCGCTTTCGTCTATGAGGGATATATTGCTGCTGTCATTACTGGCTCAACGTCTAAGAAATTATACTACAAGTTGATGACCAAAGTGCTATATACTAGTATATGATTGCATAGACTAATTCTTTTGTCCTGATACCCAAATGGTTTAGCTCTGCTTTAGCTGTGTAATTTTAGCTGCTAACTGCTTGTTTATATTTGCACACTTATCCACATGTACATCTGAGTTATGATTTTGTTTTCGTTGCTTATAAAGGTTTCTACTGAAAAGCTCTCGGATTTAAAGTCAAAGATGATTGAATATGCTAAGGGTCATGCTAAAGACATTGGAGAGGGTCTTGAAGTGCTTCCTGGTGTTGAATCTCTCCTTCAAACTTTGTCATCAAGAGATGCATAGTCTTTGGACTAGTAAGTGTGCGTAGATGCATGTTTCTTGCTTCATATCCTACACAATCCAGCATAACTCTCATTTGGTTGTCAACCACCTGCTCTGAAAGTATTAGTTGTGGTCTCTGAAACTTTTTGTACGATTGTCTCTTTTTCAAAGTACCTTTATTTATTTAATTTTTACCCTGAGGACTTCTCTAGTCATTTCTGCAAGAAAACTCAAATAGGAGTTTTAGCTTTGAGTTTGAATTCACTTCAATGCATCAGGCATTCTATATTTCCATTTGCATGTGGACATGAAGTAGTGGGAAATAAAAGAGAAAACCTCCATAGATCAGTGGGGGTGGGGGGTTTGGGTACTGATGCTTTGTGTGGTCGTAGGTGCTCCACTGTTCAAGCTACTTTAGAATTCATGGTTATCAACAATTCGACATCTTTTCTCTAAATTATATATCGACTTTGGTTCAAGCTGGTATTCTTTGGATAGGTGCTGCCTGCTAAAAAGGCTTAGCCTCTATGCCTCGGGTGTTAGTTTGTTTGGCTAAATAGGAACAGTTGGAAATTCTAAGTTCAGTCTATTTCCAGGCAACCTATAAGTTTCTAGATTTATTTTGGTCTAAAGGTGCAATGTTATCTGGCTACAACACATGCTTAAATTAAAGGGATTAGAATTGCAGTAAATGACCTCTGTTATCCGAATCTGATCACTTTTGCGCAGAATTCTTTTGTGATTTTGTCTTAATACCCTCGTTATGCTCTAGGTTACTGGCAACTTGGAAGAGGTTGCATGGATGAAGATGGAAGGCTTGGGCATCGAGAAATATTTTAGTGTTCCACATATTGGAGGGTTGGTTGACTATTCATTTGTATAACTTGATCGATCTTTTTCTACATTATCCCTGGCTGATGATTACCTGATCTCAGGTTTGGGAGTGATCACATTGACCGAGGTCACCTTGTCAAAATTGCAGCAGAAAGGGCTGAAAAGCTTTTTCCGGGGAAATTTGATTTGCGAGTGCATGTTGGAGATACAGTATGTAAAATTGTAAAATCTGTCACCTTCAAAAAGAAATTTGATTGTCAAGATATTTGCTTACTTTTTTGCTTCATTGCTTCAAACACAACCATGCTGTAATAATAAATGGGAAGATGTTTTATAAACCATGGCTCTAATCTGCTGGTTGACATGTCTGCTTCTTATGCAGCCAAATGATATTCGAGCAGCTGAATTTGGGGGAGCTTTGGCAATTGGTGTTTGCACTGGCATCTTTGGGAAGGAGGAGCTGGATCCAGCTAGCACTGGAGGAGCTGTCGTTCTCCAAAATCTTTCTGATTGTGAGAGCTTCTTAAATTTGCTGGGTCTTTGAAATTGGGTCCCTTTGTATACTGGTATTTCAGGTGACCACAGTAATTATTGTTGTTCCAAATCTATTGATATGCTTGAGTGGAGTTCAAATATTTATGTCATGCAATAATCTTACATTGACTGCCATTTCTAATATTTTGACAATCTTTAGCAGAACTGTTCACAAAGTTTGGGATAATGAAATGAGATGGTTGTACATTTAATTTCTTAGCTTTTCCAGTGACTAATATAGTACTTACGAAGTTACAAACTCTCCCTTAGTTGCTCTTGCACCTCCCCTCCACCCTTCCACAAAATAACAGAAAGATATTTATCAGCTGAATTATGGTTATGATGTCAAAAATGGTGAAGCTTTTATAGTTTTATTAATACTAGGGCGGCTAATGTGTGGCCGCGCGTGCCATTGCTAGCCATGTTTGGGAAGGTCTTTCGATTTTGCCTTATGTCACAACTTTAGTTGTTGGTACCATTAATGAGGGAAAATATGTAAACAAATATTTATGAGGGTATTAATGTCCCCACACTATTCTTAACAGTTCAAAGACTGAGACAATTAACAATAAGGTCAAATAGGTAAATACATATTTTAAGGGCTATAATTGTCCAAACACTATTCATAAGAGTTATCTCAAACTTTTTAAAAGGTAGAGATAGGGATTGGATTTTCAATTATTTCTAGTAATTTTTTTTCCCTCAAATTCTCTCCCTTGCTCTCAGTCTGATGGTTGAGAAGATCTGAATTTTTTAAGGTCTTGAAATGAACACTATAAAATGCAGTCATATTGATTATGACAGAGGCCCCCTAGCTATAACATTGGTGGAACTGTGGAAGCCTTTTTGTGCACAATGTTTGTACTACACTAAGCATTTTTGTGCACTATGTTTGTACTACATGAAGCCTTTCTGCATCAGGTTGCTGATGAAATTAGTTCTACTCAGCAATCACGTCACTTGATCTTTTTTTTTTTTTTTTTTTCCCTGGCTGGTTCTCTCGTTTATTGATTGAAATCGTTGAATATATTATTGCTTGCAACTGAATGACCCTTTACATTTTGAAACTGTAATAATGGCTAATGACAAAGATATACGGGGTATAATAATTGAGTAGTGGGAGCATTTTGCTGATGCCTTATATGGAGTAGTTTAAAGTTGCAATCAATCACAGTTGGTGTAATTTTTAAAATTAAAAGCTAGGGTAAAAAGTTTGCCATTTGCCATTTTCAAAAGGAATATAAAATATTGGAGTTCATTGACTTCTGGCAGGTCAACTACTATTCAATATTCTATATACTGTTTTGGTATGCTTATTCATTCCTTTTGATAGAAGTCCAGAAGTCTATAAAGTATTCATAATTTATATAAATGGGTGTATGAAATATGCTGAATATTCTCTGTGACTTTGAACTTTTAAAACAAGGTAGAACCTTGTCTTTTGAACTCTGTTTGCATCTATCTCTACAAACTACCTTGTCAGAACCAAAAAATCCTCAGAGGAAAGAGAGATGGAACAAGGGAAGAAGGAAATTAAGAGAATACTTGTTACATTCGACGTCGATGGAACCTTAATTCAAAGTGATGGGACCAACTCTAACCATTTCTTTCAGGCTTTCTCCTATGCTATCCTGCAAGTCTTTGGAATACATGGTACTATCAATGTTATTCAGGTGCTTTATTCATTATCTCATTTGTCAAGCATTTTGTTCATATTAAATGTCCACTTTATGGTCGTTTTTACTTCTGTATATTAAGTTTATTATCACTGGTAATTGGCCCCACCTTATTTTTGTCTTTATTAGTTTGGGTTTTGCTGATTAATAATAATGAGTTATATAGATTAGGATGATAGTTGAGCAGAATTTCCTAGTATATTGGGTGGTTTTCCTTAACATGGAATGTGTTAGGTTTGCTGTGATATGGCATTAACTGATAAATGATGTTGTTAGCATCTCAAAGTTTGGTCAGAAATCATTAATACCTGAACGACTAATCAACCATGTATGTCCTTGATTTTTTTTCCCATTTGATCATTCCTGTAATATGTCACCTCCATTTTAATTTAAGGGAGCTGAAACACAAATGTTATAGCTATGGATATGATGGACTGCAAATGGTGATGTAACTTCTACTGGTATTTCTCTGATGTGAAGTACAGAGTAGTTGATAACCTGTTGGATAAAGGGTTGAATAAAAAAGTTTACTTTTTCTTCTTTGTTTGTTTATTTTTTTATTTTTTATTTTTATTACAGGTTTAGTGTATATTTGACTCCTTGGCCCTTGCCCATTTGCCCTGCCCTAGGCTGCTAGGCAAGTGCCAATTAGATGCATTGGGTTGGGCAGCAGTATGGTGCAATATGATGTTTCACTTAAAATTTTCTTGGTTTTGATTGTACTAAATCATGTTAGTGCACATCTTCATGCCTGTTTACTTTGATTAAGAAAATGGTTAAATACAAGAACTTGAACAATGAATGTTGTGGATGCTGGCTATTGCTACTCTATGCATACTGCTTTAAGTTTTGTTAATTGCTTTCCTTCCCCCCATTTTTTAGAATTAATGGAAGCTAAATCATTGTTTTATTGATATAATCCTAATGATTTTTTTCAGCCTCATGGTTCGACTGACCCTGCAATCCTCGTGAACACACTTGTCCACTACGGTATATCATCTGAGGTTGGTAGCTTTCTGGTATTACTGCAATTTTTGTTGTTGTTTTTACTATCATTCTATTTTTGCAATGTAATTTGGGGAGGGGGGTGTTTGAGGTTCTGCTGTATTAAATTTTCGCACTTTGGTCTGGAAGACATCTCTGAATTTTCCATAGCATTCTAGCTATATGGTTTCCTTGCTTTGGCTTTAGTTACTAGTATTTCCTACTTTGAACTAGGCCAGATAAGTGTGCTTCAATTTATGTTTCACTCCCAATTGGCCCAAAGAAGAGGTATAGCCTTGTAGGTCTTCAATGCCACAATATTCAGATCGTAAACATAAAGCTCCTGTTCACTTAAGTTTAAAGAAGTCATCAACTCATCAAAGGTTTAGGTTGATAAGTCCTTAATCGATATCATGTTGTGCTATATGGAGTAAGTTATAAGTAAGACAAAGAGATGGACTATAATAGCAAAGAAAACGCTTTTTACTTCATTCCATAAATAAACAGATTAAATTGTAGCATATATGTTAAGAACCAAACAACTAACTAAAGCTAATAAGTTTGAACACTATCCATGATCTGATGAATTGGTACCATGGCTAACCCACAATCAACTAAATTTTAGCAACCTAAAACTTGCTACAAGCCTACGTATTGATTGATTACATAAAATACTCATGCTCCTATATATATACCACTATATAACTGGCCCATCAAGTAACTTCCCCTAGAACGAGGAAATATATTAACTCCTCTCAAACTATACTACACTGAAGATCCGACGTCGCACCTTTCTTTCAATTCGGTGACACTCATTTCACCATTTGCTGTTATTTTTCTGATCGTCCATTTTGACAATATCTTAATTAAATTTCTTCTTGTTGTATCAAGGTTGCTACTGAAAAGCTCCCGATTTTGATGTCAAAAATGACTGAATATGCAAAGGCTCACGCTGAAGACCTAGGAAAGGGTCTTGAAGTGCTTCCTGGTGTTGAATCTCTTCTTCAAACCTTGTCATCAATGGATAATGTAATCATTGGTTTGGTGAGTTCATATAGACATTTTCTCCTTGATATATTTAACAATTTCTTTTATCTGGTTGTTTTACTTTGTTGTGAGTCTTGTGCTCCAGAAATTTGAACCTATTCAATCATTATTGTGACCTCTCATTATAAGGAATAGGATATCTCTCCTATTTTTTGCGTTGATACAAACATCATTATAAATGAAAATAATTATTCAAATTTGGACATAAGCATGGTCTTTTTGATAGATATCATAATTTATGGGTATCAAGAAAATTAACCTGCTAATTGGCAATGCTGTTGGTGCTGATATATTTACTCCTGATGCTTTAATTTGCTAGTTGTCTGACTGCATTCAGCTTAAACTGTGAGTAGCTTTGATTGCATTCGACTTGACTGATTACTCTGATTCTGTCCTACAAGGTTCTGCAGTTTGCTTTAACCTTTATGTCTCATTACTCCTGCTATCAGGTTACAGGTAACTTGGAAGAGACTGCATGGATGAAATTGGATGCATTGGGTATCAAGAAGTACTTTAGTGTTCCGCATTTTGGAGGGTTAGTCAAAAAAACATGTCAGCCATAAGTTAATTGTTTTGTTAGATTTCCATGATTGATGATAGTTCATTTTTCAGATTTGGGAGTGATCACATGGATCGAGGTCATCTCATCAAAATTGCAGCAGAAAGGGCTGAAAATCTATATCCTGGGAAATTTGATTCCCGACTGCATGTTGGAGACACAGTATGTGGAGAATCTACTCCCTATAACTTTGCTTATTAGATGAGTTGCTTCCTATGTTCCTATGATTACCTGCAGAACCTTGGGTTTTTTTTTTTTGTCTCAAAAAGATGATCTAGTGTTCTGAATTATTTGGATATTCTTTCGCAGCCAAACGATATCATAGCAGCTGAATGTGAGGGAGCTTTGGCAATAGGAGTTTGCACTGGCGTTTTCAGAAAGGAGGAGCTGGAGCAAGTCAGCAATAGAGGCGCTGTGATTCTTCAAGATCTCTGTGATCATAAGAGCTTCATAAATTTGCTAGTAATATAAGTTGAATTATGTTAACACGTGCTACATTATGTAAGCAAGGGGTTGCAATATGTCCTGTTATGCCTTAAATAACATCTAAGTTTATCATTTCAAATCTTAATCTGAATGCTCTTTAAAGCTTGAAATCAGCCAAATTCAGTTATTCACCTAGTGTGGTCATGCTATGTAGAGTACTTTCGTGTATATGCTCTTTCACCTCCCTGTTTTGGAGGAGCTTTCCTGTTGCAATTGTTGGTATTTAAAGCAAAGTATCTTTTTTCAAAGATGTACATCCAAAACTTAAGTTGACTTATACCCGTTGTCACTCTCCCAAATTTTGTACATTCTTTTTTTTTTTCCTCCTCACAACACTTTGACTATTCCACTATTTATATGCTTCATTTTGATTAGGCATGATGATTTATAACTAAGAAAAAATATTTTCACTTGAGATCTTGTTAGATTTGCCTCTTTTTTTTTTCCTTTTATAATATCAAATTTTATAATATTTTACATAATGATAAATAGAGAGCTTTATATTAAAGATATTAGTGATTTAAATAATGCACATTCAGGATAATCTAAATCACACTTAGCAACAGATATCCTGAATATTTTCATGCCAGCAAAACATACTTTACAAACCAAAAGAACAACCAGGGCATGCGATAAATAGAGAGCTTTACATTATACTAATATATATACCTTGACAATTGCTAGGCAGAGATTATAATTACATGTTGGAAGATTAGTTTTTCATTCTACTGTACACCATTTACATTGCATCTGGCTTTTTCTGCTGATTTCAGATGAATAATTTTACCTTAATTCTGTACAATTTTCTGACTGATTCATCAACCATTTTGGCAGAAGTACAGAAAGCTCGAAACTAATTTCAGTTATATGACTAAGTTCTTCTTAAAGAGCTGGATTATGTTAAGTAATTATAATAAACCCAGAAAGGAGCTTCTGTTTTATCCTTTGGCAAACTTTGAATATAGAGGTAAAATCTTGACAGTTCCTCTGTTGATACTGCCTCTGCATCTATTACTTCAGATTCACTTGTCAGAACCCATAAATCCTCTGACTTTACTCTTTTTAATCCTCCTCTGCAGAAGGGGCATGATGCAGACTTTGTATTCCTACAGTTTTTGGACAAAGAAAAATTCAGCCATCCATTCATTCTTAAAAAGAAATATATACAAACGAAGTAAAAAATAACGCGGTTATTTGACTCATACCCTAGTCCCTCCTCAAGAGTCAAGACATATTCTTATCGCCTTTAAAAATAAGTTTTGGGATGAACAAGTTCAATTACGAGAAATTCTTGTGCAAAGAACCAAACTTGAGTGTCTCAATAAACATCAAATTTAGAACCTTGAAAACTTTATGACGGATGTATGTTAAAAGGTCACACTCAAGAACGAAAGCTATATTATTTAGTTTTTCGACTATCACAAGGAGCGTTAATCTTGGGTGTAAGTAACCACGCAAAACTTTTGACAGTGTTGGGCGGTAAAAAAAAAAATTACTGTAGTTTTACCAGTTTCGGTAACAGTTGATGCACATTGCATGACAGCAGCCAGGCAAGACCATTTTAGTAGTCGGCACCAAACATATCCCACATTCATCCTCTCTTTCTTGATCAATCACATTTTGAAGCCTACCCTGCCCTAAGAAATTCTCCTTGTCACCACTTTTCTTGGTCAAATTTATTCTACTTTCGCGCTCCACCAAATCATTGTGAAGCCTTGTAAGGGAAGGAAGTATGATAGCTGCCAATTTTGATATTGTTTGAAGCAAGTTAGCACGATACAATAATAATATTAATGAGCGATGATAAATCCATCTCAAATATGAGCAAAAACGACCAAATCTTCGGGACACTTTTAAAATTAAGTTTTTTGCCATGTATTGGGACGTTGTTTCAATTAAATAAATCCATCCTTGCTATTGGATGACTATAGTATTATGTACTCCGTAATTATTTAATGATCTTATTATTTATTTAATGTACATACCATAGAATTCTCTAACTGTTGCCTTGCTTCCTTGGGTAGATATATGGGTTCTTCCATCTGGATAAACCTATATTGAAAAATTCAACGAATTTGATTAATTAAACTAGCTTAAGAAAATTGTTTGCTTGGGAAACAATTTTTCATGTTCATATCCCCCAAAATAATACATGTATGTAGTTATGAATTCGATTCTCTATTTTAATAACCAAGAGTCCAAGATAACGTATTTGGGGACGTAAACAAGACAATAACACCAAAGACCCATTTCCTAAGAAATTCTACTTCCTATACTCGCGTTTCACAAACCTAACAAACCCAATAGTCTTACATGTATTGTAGAATAGCGAGTTTAAAATTAACCAATGTAATAGCTAGCAAAACATGAAATGATAAAATAATCGCGAACAAACATAAAAACATATTAATTCTTTTAATTTACTAAAGTCTAAGAAGAAAGACCAACCTCATATATTAGAATGTTGAATAGATTGAAGTAAAGTGGGAAAAGGCAGGAACAAGAACTATCAAGCCATTGGAGCAAAAGATAAAGCAAAGGTGACAGTTGATTGTACTCCAATTTCATATGAAGGCAAACCCCTTTTTTTGGTTTTGGAATTGCAGCTACCCTGTTACAAGAAATTATATAGACATATTAAACATAACATTTCATATGAATCAATATTTTTCACCTTTTTCTAAGGCTGTAACTTTTTTTTACATACCATATATATAAGTAACGGAAAATACAAAATTAGGTAAGCCTTCGCCCCGTCGACAACTGCGCACGGGGCAAAGGCGTAAAGCATAAGATTATGTACTTACAGGGCATTGGCATGCTGTATATCAGCTTCTAACTCCTTGAGTAAATCTTGGTATGAAGACCTTCCTACTTGGTAATACACCATTTCCATATTTTCTAAGAAAAAAAAATTAAAACAAAGTTTAGTGGCTATTTGTTTTTCTAGGAAGTGTTTAGGGATGTTTTCTAGAAAAATTGTGGTTTTCAGGGAATAGAGGAGAGAAAGAAAGCTCAAACTTTGAGTTTATATATAAATATTAATGGGAGATTGTGTCTAATAGTGAGTAATAATTAATTAAGGTGGCAAAGTATGATTTGTGCTCCTCATTATCTTCTTGTGTTTTGAAATATATTTCCTTCTTTTTAAGACAAAAGCAGATTCTATTTGGAGTAGTATAATTAATTGTTTTAGTGGTTGTTGGTAGGTGATTTTTTTTTATTTTTTATTTTTTTTTTTTTATTATTATTATTATTATTATTATTATTATTATTATTATTATTATTATTATATTTTGAAGGGATTATTTTACATATATATATTAAAATGGATTATGACATTATGATATGGACTAATTATTATTAGTTAGATTTTTTTTTTTCCAATATTAAATATTATTGGTAATTGTATGACTTTAGACCTTATTATTATTTTGGAACTCATATCTCCCGTGTCCTAAAAGAAAAGGGCTTAGCCTAGGTCATTTTTTTTTTTATATTTTATTTTACTCCGTATTTTATTTTATTTCTTTTTTGAAGGGTTGACATAATAAATAGTCTTAAAGGTAGAGGGATTGAGAACTTGGGAGAAATATAGCCAGCCACTAGACATCACCCCCTGATAATTTGGCCTATACTTGCAATTAATGTCAACCATTTTGCTCTTTTTGCAAAAATAAATAAATAATACTGTAGATTATTCTTACAATCTTACTAGCTAGTAGCTACTCGTATATAGTGTGTTTCTTGTTAATTAAGAATATTCCCAGTTATTTGTTTAAAAAAATACTAGACTTTTAAGTATTCTCTAACATTTGTAATTGTGTAAACATTGGTGTTTTTTTTTTCTTTTTTTCTTTTTCTTTTTCCCTTCTTTTTTAATATTTGACTATGACAATTTTTTAATACTCGTATCAAAAAATAATTAAAGATTGCTAAGTTTCTTGTGTTATACGTAACTTCGTATTACACTTTTTATGGACAATGATCGATATTGAGTAGTTTTTTTTTTTGTTTTTTTTTTCTTAACATATAGATTTAGATTATTCCTTCAATTTCTCACTTGTTTACCAAAGAGTCTAGTAGTCTACAATTGTTGATTTTGTCTTCTGTTTTTTTTTTTAATTATTATTATTTTTTTTTTAAATCCCTCTTAAAATATTTATTTTATTATTTAATCTTTGAGAATATTTGATATGTGGTGCTGTGATGTACTCTGTAATTTATAAGCCTTACAAGTCAAAGTCAAACTCAATGTCACTTCAAAATTCTACAATTTATTATTGCGTCATCATTAATTACACTACTAAGTGTTACATATTTCACTTTTTATTTACAAATTGATTTTACTACAGAGTAGTATGATTAAAAAGTACTCGTACTACGAGTACATATTTGTATTGAATTAAACGAACTCAATTTTTTATACTACTTCCGTTATATATTAATTGTAACTTTGCGCTATTATTTGTGAGACATAAAATATTTCAAAGTTGTAACTAATATATAACGGAGGTAGTAAAACACTTGAGAGGTCAAACTAATCATTGGACAAGGCTTAACCAAATTAGGCAAACAATAATTATATTTATTCTTTAAAAATAACTTTAGGAAAAATACACTTTAATAATTCCAACTATGGGCGATTTACTTTTAATAATCCCAACTAAGATTTATTATCTAATAATCCCAACTATGCTATCAGTTTGCCTCCAATGGTCCCAATAACCGATAACCTGCTGAAAGTGTTTTTTTTAGCCACGTGTCAACACGTGATTGGTCCAAAATTTTAAAAAAATAAAAATAAAATAAAAACATAAAAAAATCCCAAAATTCCCAGCCACCACCCTTTTTCCCCACCGTCAAACCCTAACCCCCACCCCTAACCTCGCCGGAAACGGCCAGCCACCCCCCTTAACCAACTAAACCGGCCGGCCGACCCCTTTTAACCCACCCCCGAAACCACCTCCTAGCCAACCCCGACCCCCGAATTTGAAGCAGCGTTTTAACAAGGTGTGACTGCAGGTGGTGGCGGTGATTACTCCGAAGCCATCGCCAAAGAACACGCCTGTCGTCACACTATCTCTGTGAACCAAAAAATCGCTGCGAAGGTGTGACTGTAGGTGGTGGTGGTGACTATAGGTGGTTTTTGGGGGTCAAGGTTGGCTGGGCAGGTGGTTTTGGGGGTTGGGGTTGGCTGGCCGGTTGGTTTCGGTGGCTAAAAAGTGGTGGCCAGCCGGTCCGACGAGGTTAGGGGGTTGGGGGGTTAGGGTTTTACGGTGGGAAAGGGTGGCTGAGATTTTTGTTTTATTTTGTTTTTTTGTTTGTATTTTTTTTTTTTTTTTAAATTTGCACCAATACTTATAATTTTTTTTTTTTAAATTTGAACCAATACTTATAATTTTTTTTAAATTTTCTTTTTAAATTTTTTTTAAATTTGAACCAATAATTATAATATAGTATAATTAAATCTAATAATCATTATATTCATTATTGTTCTACACTTTTTACTTGTTTTGTGTAATGTTTCTATATAAGTAATCCAAACTATTTAGCCAATTAAATCTAGTCATCATTATATTCATTATTTCCTTTGAAGCAACATTAATTATCTATCATTGGTACATGTATAAACTAGACCGAAAACTAATGACCTGATAGTTACGTATCCTACTAATATAGACTCGATATCTCTTGTAACACTCCTAAATCGAACCCAAACAAATGTCCTAAACTAGTTGTCACCTTTGATCATGATGATTTCATATACGAGTATGAAAACGTACTTAATTTTTCCGATTTCATATAAACTTCCAATCACATTAATCATAATAATGATCTTACGACAACTGCATAATGGCCACCTTAATGCGAAATTTATATACGCTTTTAAATGCTCATCACATCAATCAGTCCCAAAATCTATCTCATATAATCAACTCGATCATAATTAGAAATCGGCCTCCAATCGGCCATTATACCAACTAGATTAGCATCAAGAGGACTAGATCGAATAAAACACATCATCATCAAAATTACTACATCACATGAGTATCAAAACTTATATAGAAAGATCGATTTAAAAAAAAAAAAAAAAAAAAAAAAAAAAAAAAAAAAAAAAAAAAAAGAACGAATCTGCTCTATAAACAAAAATATTCTCTTGTAAATTGCTGCTTTGAAATTACAATCACACCTTTAATATATGCCAAAGGAAAATATAATGAACCGTAATAAGTAAATCAAAGTAAAAAAAAAAAAAAAAAAAAAAAAACAATAACTAAACATATATGTTTAAAACCTAAATAAAAATAGTAAATTCATTATTAATGAATCAAACCCGAGGAATAATCTTGGCTCTCAATGGATTCTTCATGATCACAGTAAACTCAAGCTTCTCAGTAAAGTCAACCTTACTATTTTCCGGAAATGCCCTCCATTCAAATTCTTGGACCAACCTTGCAATCAATAAATTCACATGTATTGTTGCCATACTTAGACCCGGGCACACACGTCTACCAGCCCCAAATGGTATCATTTTCACTTCTCGTACCCCCGTTATATCCGCATCTTCCCCACCCGTTAAAAACCGCTCTGGGTCGAAATTTTCTGGGTTTTTCCAAAGTTTCGGATCCTCGGATATTCCGGGTAAAAATAATTCTACATTGCAACCCGTGGGGATATGGTATCCCCCCAGGGTAGCAGGCTCAGTGACCGCGTGAGTTAGTGAAAAGTAAGTCGGAGGGTGTTTTCGTAAAAGCTCCTTCACAAAGGCATGCAAGTAAGGCATCTTATCAAGGTCCGCCTCTTCAACGGGCCGGGTACCCACTGTGGAGCGAATCTCGTTATACATCCTCTCTTGTATTTCCGGGTTCTCAATGAGTCGGGCCACGGCCCATTCGACAGCGGTCGCAGTAGTATCAGTTCCCCCGTTGATAAACTCCGAGCACAGGGTCACTATCTCGGGCTCATTCGGGCCTGAATTCCGACCCTCAACCTTGACCTCAAACAGCGTGTCGAGATACGAGAACTGCATTGCCGTAGGATCCGATCCAACCCCGGCCCGAAGAATGGCCCGTCGTTGTTCGATGAATGGGCGAAGCGTCTCGATTTGCTTCCTCCGAACCTCCAAAGCTTCCTTACGTTGCTTAGAGAAAAACAAGCTAAGAATAGGGAGAAAATCGTCAATTCGCGGGTTCACCGTAATCAACACCTCCTTTAACGTGTGATCAATCTTATCGATAGTTTCCTCACTCATATGAACTCCGAAACACATCGACAGCAATATGGTAAACACCGCGAAACGAGCATTCTTCAGCACGTAAACGACGCCGTTTGGGTCCTTCTCGGCCTCGGCTTTGATCCTTTCTATGAACGTATCCATAGCAACATTACGCACACCTTTAAACTCCTTTAGTCTAGATGAGCTAAGACCGTTTTGAACCATGTTTTTTCTTAGGGACCGCCAAACCGGACCGTAAGTTGCGGCATTGACAGTAAACTTGTCGCAACTAAAGATCCCTCGAGTGGGGGTCTCAGCGGGTCGGGTGGCAAATACCTGACCCTTTTCGATCAGTGCCTCGTGTGCTAACTCGGCGCTGCTGACTATAATCAAAGTACGTGACCCCATCTTGAGGGTAAAGATGGGGCCGTACTTTGGTTTAAGGTCTCTTACGTATTCAAAGAAGTATTTTCCCGAGTTAGCAACCTGGAATAGGTTGCCAACTATGGGCCATCCTGGAGGGCCTGGGGGAAGTGTACGCCTTTCCCCAAACCTTGACGATGATTTGACCTTACTCTTAGAGGAGGAGGAGGAGTTATTTTGAGTGAAGATGAATCCAAAGGAAAGAGTTGTAATCAAAAGGATTGCTAATGAGATAAAAATGAGGTGATAGTAAGAAGAGAAATCCATGATTGTATGTACACTCTGTTTAGTACAGTGTGCGGTAAGGGGTGTGAACGAGTCGAGCCGAATATTTAGAGAAGTGAGTGATGAGTATAGAGAGGCAGTTGTAGCATCATAAGAGAAAGTGGAATGGTGGGTAGGAGTTAGAAGAGGAGGGGGGTATAAGAAATGGAAAATGCTGGAAAATTTAGGTGATTGTTATGAAGGGTACCTGTGAAATTTTAATTTCCAACGCATTGGTGAGGCTAGTTAAATGTTGCAGCTGCCAACTACAGCCCTAATAATAGTTAATGTTGTATAGTGTAGTGGGACATTTTTAGTAGTATGTGGACTATAAAATTATGCCTTTAATTTCATGTTATGGAAAAAATCATGGACATTCTTGGTATCTTCAATATATAAATGTTTAGTCAAAGAGATAAAAATTTGATTTAACTCTTTTAATAAAGGCTAACTAGTAGGCGGCTATAGATAGGTGAGATTTTGGTTAGAAATTTTCTTCTCAATTTATTTGATTATGTGAAGTACTCCGTATGTGTTTATCGTTTTCAAGGTTGGTTTTATTACCACTCGGGTAATTATATACAAGTACGTAGCTTTTAGGGTTACCAATAATAATAATAATGTATGGCAAACAACTAATGCGTTGATCGGTGTAGTTAATGTTTTACTTAATTTACCGTATTATTCTTTAGTTATTTTTAATTATCAATAAGTTAAAATAATTAAAAGGTTGATATTTTAAACCTATAAAGTGAGAAAAATTAAACAAGCTAAGATCTCACGTATGTATATGACATCTTAATTCTTAAGTAAGAATAATCACTAAAAATGGTTAATGTAAATTTTGTGAACAAGCAACGTCAGATGTCAAAATATGCTAACTAATTAAACAAGAACGAAGAAAATACATTTTGATGCTCATATAGGATATTACTCTAGCAGTAATGAATACATAACTTTAATAAGGGTCAATCGGAGTTGTTTATACGTAACATATTTTCATTTTAACTCCTCGGACGATAAATATAGATAATGTTGTCCGTATATATTAAATGTGATCAACAATTTTGTCAATTTACCATCAAAGAAGTAAATACTTAAATAGTTAAATGTGCGTATGGGCGGTGGATAGAAAGACTAGTTTACTACAATTAAGTCAATAGGTAAGGGCAGTAGGTTATTAGTTTCATTTAACTTCCGGTATGAGATAATTTGTCAAAATTAAAAACTTTATTAACTTTTTTTCAATAGTGGTTTAGAAATATGAACATTATTAAGAATTATGAATCAATGATATTCCATATATGTAGCCTTAATGTATAAGCTTTAAACAATTTTTTTTAATGGTATAAATTTGAGAATTCTGGATAAAAGTACGCTCGGATCAATATAGTCAATATTAATGTAGTCATGTAATAGGAAGTTTTGAAAGAAAAAACATATATATCCTACAAAATAGTAAAAATATGTCTAAACTTCATTAAATTGGGGGTTAAGGTTTAATCCTCTAACATTTTATTTAAAAATAACAATACTTAACCACTATGCTACAAGTCTACAACTTTTTATATGTATTTTTCAAACACATACTCCGTATTTTTTATAACCAATAACTATAATAAAACCTGGGAGGGATCAGGCCCCTCCCCGCTACAATTAAGATCCGTCATTGGTTAACACACTATTCATACAAAATTAATGTGTAGGTGTAAGCTTGTTTAAAATGAATATTGGACATATATGATAAAATATTAAAATGAAGGCACTCCTTCCATGCCTCCATCACTCCATGTATGATTAATTGTAATAAAAACAAAGTTTAAGGGAAATTGTAAGGCCAGATGTTGACCAAAGTGATTATTTCATTATAAAAAAGTAAAGTTTGTGGAATATTAAATGGTTAGTAGGAGAGAAATAATAATTTTTCCATTCTTTAAATATTGTAATATTTGTGATTTTAGTTTTGACATTATTTACACATTAATCTTTAACTACATAAACTCCATGCGTTTCTAAATACTCGCAATAGTTTGACATTAACGCTATATTTCGTATTAACTTTGATTATAATTTATTTTTACTACTCCGTATTATATAAAAATCAAATGTTATTGTTATACTTCTTCCGTTCTCTTTTAATTGCAACGTTTTGATTTTCACACTTAACAATAATTTCACACTTAACAATAATGCATAATTTCAACTCTTTATATATATAATTATAAAGTTTTAAAAAATATTAAAATTTGATATTGTACAAATATAAATGGATCTTGCTAATGAGTGCCCCGGGACGTTAAATAACTAATTTATATACAACTTAAAATAGTGCTAATTTTGGACACGTTGATCGGGGTAATTAATGTTAATGAGTGCCCTGAAACGTTAATAACTAATTTATATACAACCTAAAATAGTGATAATCTTGGAATACATGTGAAAATCACACGTTGATCGGGGTAATTAATGTTTAATTACCTAATATTTCCATTTTTATTTCTTTTATCTAACACCCGAGACGCTTGTAAGCTTTTGCCAATATAAATTTAGACGAATCTTATAATATTCCACATGACTATATGTTGTCCAAGATATAATAAAGTTGCTCAATTCAAATGTGACAACATGAATAGTGCAATAATTTTCTAAAATTGTAACTAAAACAAACAAAGGAAGTAAATTATATCTATATCAAATTTTATAATCTTGGGTCACGAGGAATTGTCATGTTTTTTTAGACCTTGGTGTAAAAATATCTTGTGTGACACAATAACACAGACATAACACAGTGACAGTGTGAGTGCGTGACAAAAGTTTATTTTCTTTTCCTGTATACTTCAGCTTTAATCGACTACAGAGAACCATTTTTTTTTATGCTAACTACAGAGAACCAGTGGTTGCTTTCACTGTTTATTTGGTATTGTTGCCGCCAAAAAAAATCGACATTATGAATTATATATCTCATCAAAAACTTTAATAATTTCTGCAAAATAAAGGTAATGCACTCAACAATTCAACCTTTTTTCTATATCAATTACATTACTGTTTGCGTAGAATCAAACAAACTCTCAAATTCTACAAAATTACAGTTTACGATCATGAATTTTTAAGTGCTGCTATTATATTTATATGTTAATTATCTTTGAAATGTTGATTTTTTTTCTTTTGCTTGATTCTGATTGGAAGATATTTATATAACCAGATTTTGCTAAGAACTAATTGAAATGTGTAGTAATTGCAAATTTTGCCTTGAATTAGACCTAGCTCTTCCGAATTTGCTACTCCTTATTAATTTTTGCCTCAATTTGGGGTTTTTCGTACTGATACATTTTGTATTACCCTAATTAATTAAAATGAATATCTAATATCATAATATGTCTTTTTCTTCAAAAAAAACATCATAATATGTCTTTAAGAAGTTATTTTTCTGTTTAATCCTTTTCAGTTGTTTATTGTGACCTGTGAGTGTGCACGTTTTTTTTTCAAAAATGTGAGTTTATCGCGTTTTGTAGGGATAAAATTGCGTAAATCTAGACCTTATTGTCGAAGTGGGTTTGGATGGGGCTTTTATTGTGTTATGTAAGCTAGTAACTTCAGCTGTTACATGAATCATGTGTAACATACTACAAGTCCATAACATTATTATTTATAGTTCGATGCCTTCGACTGAGGCGATTTGTAGGGGGTCTGATACATGTATGCAATGTCAATGCTGCACTGTATAGAGGTTATTGCTGTTGGAACCTCTTTATTACTCAGACTTCTTAAAGGGGTTGGCACCTTGGTGGGTCAATATGTTACTCCCCGAATTGAGCAATTTTGCTATTTTACTCGGGTGGGCATGGTACAACAAGGATAAAGGTGTCGAATCTATGCCCTTTACCTGACCTTACACTCGGACACTAGCTACATTAACCACCACTAAAGACGAGTATGTCTAACATGTCTTAAGTGGGTTTGATGAGTATTTATATATATGTATCCAAAAGGCTCTAAAGATAAAAGTTGACTTCAAATATTCAAGCCAAGTAAAAAAGTATAATGTTAGATTTTGTGTCCACATTTTGCCTATGAATTATTTTCATATTTTTTAGTTTAGATTATCATTGGTGAAAACTGTGTTCAAGAATTTAAGATGCCATGTTCTCTAGCACATGTTTAAATTATTGACAACGTTATAAAATTTGAGTCTTTAGCATTTAAATTTCTGCCCATACCCAAGTCAGAAGTATCATAGTTTGGCAAGTTGAATTGATTACTATGAATGATGAGGTTGCAAGCTTGTAGTTTGCAGCAACTGGGTGATATCTTTTCAAATCTTGATCCAGGTTTTGTTTTGTATACCAGTTGCACAGACACTGTTGTAAGTAGTCTTCAATGGTGACGGGTGGGAAAGCTTGTCCTATATAGGAAGAAGAGGATGTGATGACTTTATAACTCATTATGTGTTATGTGTGTGTAAATATTTTGGGCCTACAATAAAGGGCTTGGTATGCTAGTGTATAGGTCATTTGTATACATATGCATATATGTTACGGTCCATTGCAAGGTATGGGATTTAAGTCCCACATCAGCATATGGGGGGCTAATGTGGGGTTTATATAGGGCAATGAGCTCTTCTCCTCTTGAGCTAGCTTTTGGGGATTACTCTCCTATTGTCCTGTATCAATATACGAAGCATATTTCTAATCTTACACTTAGGCATGAGCACGAGTTAATTAAGGATCATATGCACACTTAGGCATGAGCATGAGTTAATTAAGGATCATATGCATATCATTAAGCATTAACAATATATATTACTTCGTATTATAATTTTTTTAATCACGGTTATCTAGATAGAGTTGAATGGTGGGTATATTTTCTGATTGATAAACTGCCATATCTAGAATCCTGGAACATAGTTGAATTCCAGCAGCATGTATATGGGGCTAATATTATCCTAAGGACAAAGATTAGTCTCGTTCTATTCTATTTTGTATTAATCATTTGTAATTTCTAACGGACAAAAGTCTGTGGTGCGAAGAGTGTAATAGAAATGGGAATGGACATGCCCCAAAATTCAAATTTTATCATTTTAAATAATTAGATCAAGTAATTTTGTACAACACATGACTATGCAAAGTTATGCTACATTTGTATGGGTAACATGAATTATCTTACATGCTTATCTTGCAGATGGGGTTAAACGAGCATTTGACAAATCTGGACTCTCTATCTCAAGGAAGCTTGTCAGCAATGTTTTCCTTGAAGATTGTGCTCTTCCACTACCTGAAGAAATATTCTGGTTGTTTTCTGC